GTTAAAGACATACAGTGAGGGCGGCACCGCCGTTAAAGACATACAGTGAGGGCGGCACCGCCGTTAAAGACATACAGTGAGGGCGGCACTGCCGTTAAAGACATACAGTGAGGGCGGCACTGCCGTTAAAGACATACAGTGAGGGCAGCACTGCCGTTAAAGACATACAGTGAGATGACGGGTGTCTAGACAAGGAACAGAGCTACGTATTGTGGTAGATGTGGTTTGATCTTCTTGAAGTCATACCTGGTGAGTCTGTAATGTGGTCCTCAGTCTGGAGTTTATTTCTGAGGCTCTTAAAAACACACCAGGCCCCAAATGTTTCAAAAATCAGATAAATCCCTAATGAGTAGAGTCAGTAGCTAGCTATTTAGTGTAGTGACTTTTTGTGGCCACCAGGGGTCCCCAAATGCTTGAAGACCATAAAGGATGGGTGGTCACATATTATTACCACTCGGTTCCTAGAACACCTTGATGGACATGAAAATCAAATACAGAATGTGGCTAATATAGGTTCAGAAATATTAGTAACTTGCGATGGGCTGCCCCCCCCCCCCATCCTGGGTTGTTCTCCACCTCATGCCCGTAGCTTCCGGGATAGGCTCCAGACCCCCCACGACCCAGAAGGATAAGCGGGTTGNGGAGTTACTAAACTTCCCATAGGTGTGAATGGTGTGTGAGTGTGCCCTGTGATGGGCTGCCCCCCCCCATCCTGGGTTGTTCTCCACCTCATGCCCGTAGCTTCCGGGATAGGCTCCAGACCCCCCACGACCCAGAAGGATAAGCGGGTTGGAAAATGGATGGATGGAATATAAGTAACAGATGGGTACATGATTGGATGAAAAAGCGAAGAACGCCTTTTCCCTTCAGTCCGAGGATGATCTGGCAGAGAAGATGAGGAGTAATGAGATGCTCCAGGGGGCCATCAGCACCTACGGTGAAGTAGCTGATCTGCCGGACGTCCCGGCTGACCTGGTCAGGGCGACGCTGAAAAGGAGGGCGGAGAGGCAGCAGTTCCTGGGTACGTCCTGTCCCACATCTCTGTGTGACATCTCTGTGTGACATCTCTGTGTGACATCTCTGTGTGACATCTCTGTGTGACATCTCTGTGTGACATCTCTGTGTGACAGTCGCTGCTCTTCAGAAGAGTCTCTCAGGCAAACAGGATTACAGCATGCTTAAGTTTACAGTGCTTAAAGTATAAAGTTCAACGTTTTACTGAGCGCTATAATGGGACACATTTTGTGTCAGATTTAATAATTCAATGTGTGAGCTCCATTTTAGCTCGTGTGCCTCGTTCAAACACACTACAGTAACTCTTATCCAAAGTGACATGCAGCTGAGAAGCAGGGTCAGACAGTCCCTGGAGCAGCTGGAGTTTAAGGCCTTGCTCAAGGGCGCAGTGGTGATATCACTCTGCCAACAAGGGGATTTGAATTGGTGACCTTCCGATCAGGGGAACCGCGTTCTAATCTGCTGAGCCTCCCCGACCCCCACCCAGTTAAGATATTCAAATACAGTTAAGTGTCACTTAACATCTCTCTCTGCGCAACGTCTGCATATATGTCCAAGGTCCCATAAGGTTAAAATATAGTTGGGAATTCCTCACCGGCTAACTGGATAATGCAGATGTAAGCAGCTTTAGTGCACCATGAGTAGCTGGTGTAAATAAAGCGGCTGTGCTGCCAGCTGTATAATGGTACAGTACATAGCCTGTCTAACTTATAATACCCACAATGCACCACGGGTACCTAGCGTAAACAAAGTCACTGCACTGCCAGCTGTATAATGGTACAGTACATAGTAGTACTAACTTATAATACCAATAATACTTGTTAGTAGTAATAAACGTGTTACGCATTTATGCATTTCCTGTATGGTACTTTTGTCATTTTAATGTGTACTTTCTCTCATATAAAGCGTCTTGGCCATTCGGTAGTATGGCTGTAGAATACCCGATGGCTTTGTATACAGTGTATATGATGTTTGCATAGCTTCCTATTGAACAGCACATGACTCACACAGCACCTGACGCGTGCCTATAAATGCTTCCTGTAACAGGGCTCCTCTTGGCCGCTTAACCTTGCTCACATTCACCCCACCTAGATTTTCAGTACTCGAGAGGTTCATTTATCTTACACCCCCCCCCCCCCCTCCCCAGGCCTGGGAGAATATGAATCGGAGGTGTAAATTAAAACACGATGATGGACAGCGACCAGGCTGCTGGCTCAGAGCGTAGCGCTGTAGCTTCACACCCCCTGGGTCCCCGTTTCCTCCAGGTGCTCCTGCTTCTTCCTGTAGTACAAGAACACACGCGTAATTAACCTGCCATCCATAACTTACGCATAATCCTTTTGCCCCGTGATGGGTCGCTTATCTCAGTGTTTCTCAAACCGGTCCTCAAGGGACCCTCGGACAGTCCACTTTTTTGTTCCCCCTCAGCTCTTAGTAGGGATCTGAGAGGGAGCAAAAGTGCGAACTGTCTAGTGGGGAGCTGGGAGGGAGCGAAAACATGGACTATCTGGGGGGCCCTGAAGACCGGATTGAGAAACACTGGCTTATCTGGTGTGGGTTTACAGTTAGCCCATCTCAGGAAGCACTGGTCACAGGAACACCCTGGATCGGATGCATGTCCATCACAGGGCATATTCACACACGCGAAGGGTCATTTAAAAGGACAGTAGTAGGTTAGAAATAAATATTAGTTCTATTTCTGTTCATAATGGAATAGGACCTGCAGTGATACTGCTCTTACAAAAACTAAGCAGCAGTTCAAAGTCTGGCTTTGTGTAGCTGGCTTTGTGTAGCTGCATTTCATTGGCCTGTGCAGGAAGCTGCTCTCTGCACTTTTACATTTGCATTAGCAATTTAATTTGCATTTGTATGCTAATTAAGGTCTGAAAGAGGCAAGATGTAACTTAAAACAAATTATTTTGACTCATCCAGTGAAAAATACAGGTGAGCCAGCAGGTAAGAACTGTAAGCTGCTTTAGATTAAAGTGCCGGTTAAACAACGTATGACGCGATCCATCCCCGATGCAGGCCGCATGCGAGGCGCCCTGCTGACCCTGGAGAAGCTGGTGCAGATATTCTCAGAGGACATCTCCCTGAAGAACGACCTGGGCGTGGGATACCTGCTAATGGGGGACAACAAGAGTGCCAAGAAGGTCTACGAGCAGGTGGGGGTGGGGCGTAGAGAGACAGGAGGGGAATCGTTAATGAGATCCCTTTATTTTTTTGCTAGAAACTTTTCATCCAGAAATTGGATGAGGACAGTCCGGCACTTTTCCTTTGTACATTTTGTGAATTCCGGGTCAGACGGTGCCTGCAGCCTTTGGAGGCTGAGGGCCTTGCTTAGGGACTCTGTGGCGACATCACTCTGCCGACTGCAGAATCTCTCTGTTTGTTGTGGGGATAGCTGGATTTCCATTACGTTTCACTTTGCATTGCTTTTGTTTGGTATCCTGTGTCTGCTGTGTGTGTGGGTGGGGTTGGGGTCTGTATATTTGTTTGGCCCCCAGAGTCACTTAATATTGATTCGATTCTTAGCACTTTCCACTGTTGTGTTACATGTTTCGATGTCGTATCTGGTATGGATAAGAGTGTGTGGGTGGGTGGGTTATGTATATATTACATTGTGGGGACCAAATATGCCCACAATGTCATAAAAACCTGTTGTTTTGACGTTGTGGGGTCCACGTTTTCATTCCCCACAAGGGGAAACTCAGCTTCATAAAAATCTGTAACTGCAGGAAAAAAAGCTAAAAATGCCCATAGTCTTGTGTTTTGTTTGGTTACTTATGGTTAAGGTTAGGGCCCATAGAAATGAATGGGTGGTCCCCACAAAGATATGAATACAAGTTGTTTGTGTGTGTGTGTGTGTGTGTGTGTGTGTGTGTGTAAGAGAGTGAGGGTGAGGTCTGTATACTTGAGTTTGTCCGCAACACTCTCTGAGTATCTCGAGCCATAAAAAGGAACTCTTCCCCCCTCCCCCCCCCCCCCAGGTTTTGGCCACGGCTCCCGAAGATGGTTTTGCCAAAGTGCATTACGGCTTCATCCTGAAGTCTGAGAACAAGATCGCGGAGAGCATCCCCTTCCTGAGGGTGAGCGGCGGCTTCTCCGGGGAAGGCGGTCCGGCGCGTGTGAGAGAGAGAGACGGCGCGGTCACTCTGCCCTTGACAGTTACGGGCGAGTGCAGTCCGTCGTCCGGCCTCCGTTTCTTTCTGCAGTACAGACACTCCATTGACCTTGTCGCCAAATTGCTTAATTAGTTTGAGTTGAATTGGTCTGACTTCTTAACACTCTTTTATAACTCCATAATGATTTTTGGCATAATTTAGACTTCTTCCCTTTCCTCCCTGCTTCTCCCCTTACCCATTACAGAGGGTAATATACCATACATGAAGTGCAATGATACGCGATGAGCCGTTTTTACGCAGGGCCAGCCCAGGGCATAAGCGAAGTAAGTGGCTGCTTTAGTGCCCAGCAGCCACCAGGGGGCGCCCTGCCCGATCAGCCTATCAGAATGAGAAGGAAGACAACAAATGACAGCTAGGTTAATCAGATTTTGCTTTGGGCTTCGAAAGGGGTTGGAAGGGCCTGTGTTTACATACACTCTTCACAAAGCATTTCAAGCCAAAAGTTCCTTGTCCTGTGCCTTGGTTTCTGGACAACTGCTCCATGATATTTTATGCACGCTGACAGTTATGAGATGAGTTATGTGTTCGGCAGTGGGTGGAATTGGAGAAGCACCAGCATATATAGACACCTACAGAGTAACTTATATGGACAATTGAACAATTAAAGAGCAAATTTCCAAAACTCAGTCCATTTTTTTGTTGTTTTTTGGATGACACTGCAAACAACCTAAAGTCAGGCTCCCTCGTCATATGTTACGGTATCGGGAACCAAAGCTCACTCAGTCCTCACACAGTCCAGCAGAGAAGTTTCGTTACATTTCCGAAACTCACAAAGCCCGCAGATATTTTGTTGAAAATGTGTCCCATGAACTGAGCAATTTTTGGGATTTTGCTTTTAATTGCATAGTCGTTCTTGCGATAATATTGCGACGACATGCAACTGAATAGAAAATGGAGGATCACAGCGGGCTGAGTGTTTGCTTGTTTACCAGGAGGGTCTGGAGTCCGGGGCCCCTGGTACCGACGATGGCCGTTTCTACTTCCACCTGGGCGATGCCCTGCAGCGCGTCGGGGACGACAGCGTGAGTCCAGTGCGCATTTCTCTCACTGTCAGGTCATGTGATCTACCCATGAAGCTAAAGGCTAAACACTGGCAAATCCAAGCTGCTGTGCTAACATTAATGCTAGCACTAACATTAAGTTAACAGCATGCCCCCCCCCACCCTCCCCCCAGGCATACAAGTGGTACGAATTGGGTCACCAACGGGGCCACTTCGCCTCCGTGTGGCAGCGGTCGCTCTACAACGTGAACGGCCTGCGGGCACAGCCCTGGTGGACCGCCAGGGAGACGGGCTACACCGAACTGGTCAAGGTATAACTCTGACATCCTGGGTTTACAGGGCGGACGTAAACATCCTCAAGGGGGCAGTATTCCTTTTCTGCTAGGTCCCTTTAATTGTGGGAATGCCTGTGGTGTAAGTCTGAACACCTGTTGATGGGACATTCCTCAGGGTGAACCTCGGCCCAGGGGACATGGGTAAGGCGCCCCCTTCAAGTCGCCCAGGCATAACTACGAGAAATGTGCTACTTGCTTATAGGTCGGCTCCAGCACCACTGGGGAGTGTGCCCACGTCCAGTAGGTTGGGGGTTCAGATCCCGCGGCCTGCAGGGATAATATCACCTTTGAGGCCATTAGCGGGGCCCTTATTCCCAAATACTCTGATTCCATTTCATATTTTGGGCAAGCATGTCTGCTAAATAAATAGACATAATGTGGGCTTCTGTAGACCTTCCCTGTTCGTTTCCAGCTTGAGGTGCAGCCTGTGCCTGAACTTACATATTCACTTAAAATGAATGAAATTCCTGTAGCTACTATTGTGGCCCCTTGTGGTTCTAATCGAAAACTGGGTCAATAAATCACAATCATGGAAGCGACCAGCCTAAGACATACCTCCGCTAACAGCTGCCACAGTATCTTTGTAAACTCTAATAGGATTTGTTGTTATGGTCTTTTTATTATTGACTGTAGTGTTAGAACTTTGTCTTAATGGACAAGATAGAAAGGTGACAAGTCAGAAATGGATGAGAACAATGTAAAGACGTTCAGTTTGAAGTAACAGAATGAAACAGTCGTCAGGCTAGACAGCAGTAACAAAATGCTCACAGGGTATTATAATGACAATTTTGAGGACTGTTAGCTGTGTAGTTACACAGTTCTTCTGCATAATCCTTTTTGTTGTATATCAATAAGAAAATAAATCAATAGAAAAGTAACATTGTTACACTTTCAAATTCCAAAACTCTTTTTAGTCTTTAAAAACCTACCATAAAGTTTCCCTCGGGGTGAAAATCTAACGAAGGCAAATCGCAGCATCTGTGACTAAAAGTGTAACATCACAGGCAGATGAGCTTCAGCAGTAAAAGAAAAAGATGTTTGAGGTACAGTTTAGCAGTTATTGCTACAGGGACGTTTTAAGGGAAAACCGGCTGTGAGGCTCAGCGGGTTAGGATGCTGTGCCTGTAATCAAAAGGTCATAATGTATTTAACCTGGATTGCTTCTTTAATCAAGGGCGTTATGTTCACAGCATGTCAGATGGAAGTATCTGTTAAACTGTCACTATTTCATAACTAATGAATTCCCTAACAAATCTGCCTAGTGAGTCAATGTGTGGCTCAGTGGGCAAGGATGTTGTGATAGTGATCAGAAGGTTGGTGGTTCAGATCCCATAGTCAGTCGGATGATGTAGCCGTTGAGCCCTTGAGCAAGGCCCTTATCCCAGAATTGCCAGCCAGGGACTATCTGACCCTGCTTTCCAAAAATGTTTATCTGCTGAATAAATAAAATGTAAACGCAAACCTAACAAGTACATTGATGTTCCCGTGTCTCCGCCAGACCCTGGAGCGGAACTGGAAGATGATCAGGGACGAGGCGCTCTCCGTGATGGATGCCGCTAGTGGGCTCTTCCTTCCCGAAGACGAGAACCTCCGGGAGACGGGCGTGTGGGGACAGTTCACTTTGTGGCAGCAGGGTATGTCAGAGAGCTTGGCAAACCAGTAGGTGATGGGTTCGCAGGTATAGGATGTTCTCACTGGAACTGGGTATTTTCATTGTCCTGGATGCTCTGACTGGTCTGGGCTGCTTTAACTAGTACATGATACTCTCCCTAGCAGATTATTTCACTGTGCACACAAGCCAGTGACATTTGCCAAACTACAGAAAGCTAGTGCCAGAAGTCAGCCAAGAGCCTCTTGAGTGGCACAGCCAAGGGACAGGGAAGCGACAGGGAAGGAGACAGATGGGTTTGGGTTTGTCTTGGAAGTACTGAAGGACATAAATACACAGCCTGGTGTGATGGTCACATTGAAATGATTTACATGGATTTTCGTCATTTAAACATTTATTTTATTAAATGTTTATTTCCATTGCGTGAATTTTTATTTCTACAAGTGTATCTACGGTGGTGTGTGATTCAGCGGGTTAGTGCCTATGTTCAGATAGTTGCCAGTTCAAATCCCACGAACAGCAGAGTGAAGTTACTGTTGGGCCCTTGAGCAGCAATGTGGGGTTACGGGTCGTTCTCAAGGACCCAACAGTGGCATCACCCTGCCGACCGCTGGACTTGAACCAGTGATCACCACAGAGACACGCGTTGCCCCCCCGACCCTCTACAAAAGAGCTATTCTATCAGAACCCGAGCTGTACAGTAACTGCAAGAATTCACTGAGTCAGAGAAAGTGGCATCTAGGAAAACAACACATCATACACAGACCACAGACGGCTGGATAAGTATGGTCATAAAATCTAACATAATGGTCACAGTCCACTGCCTGGACGATGCCACTGCCTTGTTACAGAAATCAAGCACTTAGAATGTGGAGTAAAGTGGCAAGTCTTTATGATGGCAGCAGGATCTTGGTGAAACACTCAACATGCAAGCAATGATGAGTCATGGAGATGCTAGACTTGGGATCAATAGCAACTCCATTTCCCATAATCCAGTGCTGCTTCTACGGCATAACAAGCGGGTCAAATGCAACTCATAAATACGTCATTTTGTGAAGTGGAAGACATGTCTCGTTTCACGCATACTTTGTATCTTGGCCAACTTGGCAAGTCAACTGCACTTTGTCTTGGATGGGTAGCGCCGGCAGTAAAGCTTGCCTGGGGTGCCACATTGTGGGGATAAGTGTGTATAGCGAACTTACAGCTCTGGCAGCAGCAATCATGAACCGATGAGTCATCGAAGAAACGCGAGAAAATGCCAGGAGATTCCTCCAAAAAAAAAGCATTGCTTGGAAATATATACAGGTTGCACGCGATACCCTGTGCTACTTGCGATGAATTGCATATACAACCAAAATTCATCCTTCCATTCTTAAGGGTCACAGGGGATCCAGAGCCTATCCCGGAGGTTACAGGCGCAAGGCAGGGAACAACCCAGGATGGGGCACCAGCCCATCGCAGGACACACTCACACCCCATTCACTATTACAGCCAATTTGGTAGCTAATTACCCTCAGCATGTTTTTGGCCTGTGGGGGGGAAATCGGAGTACCATGTGGAAACCCCATGACGACATGGGAACATTCAAACTCCACGCACATGGAGCCGGGGCAAACGCTGTGTACCGTACGGTAGCTGCCATGGAAACATACAGTATTATATAGCAGTGTGACCATCCCAGCCTGACATGTGTCTCCCAGTCTCACATGTCAAAGCCAGTGTGATTATCTTATTCTGACATATGTCCATTTCGACATGCGACCCGTCTGCCGGGACAGAGCTAAGTCGTAAGTTGGAGACAGTCTGTAGTCGACTGTAGTGTAGTACAGTCTGTATATATACTACCTCGACACTGATGGCTCTGAATACTGAACCCAATGTCTCTCTCATCAGAGCGTTCTCCCATCCTGGATTTATAATAAACGGACTGACGTCAGACTGATGCTTCTGTTTTCAGCGGGACGTGAATCTCACCAACAAGTTAATAGGCAATTCGGAAATGGGCTTTAAATGAGCCATGGATAAATGATTTAGACAAAGTGAAAATAAAAAAAAATGTCAATCAGTCAGCCTGCCTGGATCTAGGTCAATAAGTCTTTATAAATAGCCTAGTTTAACAAAAACTAAATGTTATCCCTAGTTGTCGTCATAATGGTTACATGGGCAGTCTGGTTCATATTTATTTCTAATGCTTTGTATAACCCATTGGCCGTGCTTGTGCAGACATAAAGTTGATATTTAAGAAATAGTTTTGTTTCTATAAAAATGTACTGAATACAAAGCCAATGTTCTGTAATGCGCGGAATTGACTTTCATCTACACAGTAGTAGTACTGAATTTATAGCTCCCCACAGCCAGAGGACTGCAAAAGCGGTATATACTGTTAGCGCTTCTGCAAAAGCGGTAACGTACTGTGTATATACTGTTAGCGCTTCTGCAAAAGCGGTATATACTGTTAGCGCTTCTGCAAAAGCGGTAACGTACTGTGTATATACTGTTAGCGCTTCTGCAAAAGCGGTATATACTGTTAGCGCTTCTGCAAAAGCGGTAACGTA